CCCCCACACGTTTTCGTCTCAAATGTTCACTTAGGGACGTCGTGCTTCCGTGCCATGCTAGATGGTTTTTGCATATTTTGCAGGTCACCCGTCTTTTCATGGCATCTAGAGTGAAGTGCTCCCATACTCGTGAGGTTGTTGTCCGGGGTTTCTCTTCAGTTTTGTCGCTTCTATTTTTCTTCCGTATTTCCTCTTGTTCCGCCATCTCTCACAGCAAGATGAGCGTCAGTAACGTGTTACGTCGTGAAAACCGAGGGCACTTATTGGCTCGTTTCTTCTTCTGCGGTTCCACTGGTAGATCAGTGGCTCATTACTGCCACACACTGGCGGCAAATTTAACAGATTGTAACCGATGTCAGATTGTGGTAAAAAATAGACTTTATGCGGTAAAATATGATTATCAAACAACTAATCGATGACTAAAAAAGTTGTTAACTATTTTAATAATTGATTATAATCGATTAAATCGATTAGTTGTTTCAGCTCTAATCTGGTCCCTCTGCAACCCAGCAGGTGGGATGTCACAAGCATCTAAAGCTCTGACACCTGTAACCCCCTGGTGTTTAATACTGATTCACATTTCAGTCGCTTATTTAAAACAAAACTTCAATGGCTGTGGGGGTCATCAGCTAGAGCTGCTTCAGGAGAACAAACGAGACGCTTTTTCATAAATTGTCCTATAATTAATATATTCTGCTGCTTTTACACCCGTATGTCACTAAATTTCGATCCCGCCATGACTTATTTGGCCTACGTGTTCTTTTGGATTACATATACAGATTAGAACTAAATTGTTGATACTCTTCGGTTGATGAGAGGAAAACTCACAGTGGTCACAGAAATAACTGAAATCTGACAAAAGTCATAGAAAAAAAATTCGATCAAATGTTACCAGTCAGGCATTGTTTTTCAGTCATGCTTCAGCAGAATTATTTAAAGGGACTTTACGGACTTTTGAATTTTTATGCTCGCGATTGCCCCCTCAGGCCAAAAGCGTAACTGCAGCTTCAATAGTAGGCTCGTGCACGAGGCACGCATGCTGTACGTGCACACTCCTTGACGAAAATAACAGCTGAGACACTCCGCTGTGTGTGTGTGTGTGTGTGTGCGTGCATGCGTGTGTGTGTGTGTGTGTGTGTGTGTGTGTGTGGCCTGGAGGACAGAATAACACAGCAAATTAATAAAACAATGTGCCTCTGTCTCTGCAGCTGCACTTTCTCGTCGGCCGGCCGAACGTGCAGTGTGTGTGTGTGTGTGTGTGTGTGTGTGTGTGTGTGTGTGTTTGGCCCGGAGGACAGAGGACAGTAGAACGTGCAGCTAATTAATTAAATAATTTGGTTCTGTAGCTTTCTCTTCAGCACAGCCGACAAAGGTTTATGATGGGTCAGTCCTCCTGCATGCTCAGATCATTCCCTTCCCTTGCTTGAAAAATTGTTCCAAAATGAAAGTTAAAGTTAAAGTCCCATTAGTTGTCACACACACACAGGTGTGTGTGCGAAATTTGTTCTCCGCATTTGACCCATCCCCTGGGGGAGCGGTGAGCTGCAGACACGGCCGCGCTCGGGAACCATTTGGTGGTTTAACCCCCCAATCCAACCCTTAATGCTGATTGTCAAGCAGGGAGGCATTGGGTCCCATTTTTTCAAAGTCTTTGGTATGACCCGACCAGGAATCGAACCCTGATATCCCAGTCTGAGGGCGGACACTCTACCACTAGGCCACTGAGCTGAACCCAGATCTTTTTTAACTGTGAATTCAATGCAGTTCGGCGAGTCTCAAATAAAAATTTGGGCATCTTACTGTAAAAACTATACCATTAATGTAAAAAATAAACTCTAAATGCCAAATTATGTCCACAACTGGAGTTGAACTCGGGTCCTCAACGGGAGAGTCAGACGTCTTACTAGGTGAGCTGAAGCGCCAGTAACATTTGTATTGTTTTCTTCAACAGCATATGTTAATCGTATTCCACATTTTTAAATGTTTTATGCACCAGGAATATGGAGGAGTGCATATGCAATTTGATGTTTTCAATGGTTTGAGATAAATAAATAAAATAAAATAAATCAAATAAATAAATGTATCTGTAACATTTATATCCTTGATGACAGCTGAAACAACGTCAAACCAAAGAACGGTTCGGAGTGAAAATGGCTATTTTGTTGCTAATCTGCAGGAAATATCTAGAAGAAAGTTCTACAGAAAGAAGCTAAGGGTCCTCAGAAATGTAGCTAGCTTTGTCACTAGGCGTTAGGAACAGCGACAAAGTGGCACTGCCTCTCTCTCTGCTGCTAAAGCTACGGATAGCAAATGCTACGGGCGATGTCTGAGCGTGAACGCGCATGAAGCAGCCTGCTCGACCCGAGCATCTCTCTTTTTCTGTGATTTTACAGAAAAACAGGCAATCCCAGTAAAAATGCCAGGGCTCATTCTACAGGACCAGGGCATTGCAGGAGAATGTATGAAGAAGACATTTATTATTTCTATACATGTTTTGGCCGTCAGACTTCCATAATGCCCCTTTAAACAAATAAACTGATGGAACAGGCCTGGACACAAACGATGGTGTCCCTAACTTCCTGTTTTGTTGTACAAACGTTTGAGGCAATCACTGCAATCAAACGATTCCTGCTGTCAGTGAGACTTCTGCACCTATCAGCAGGTATTTTGGCCCAATCCTCATGAGCAGGTTTGAATGGTCTGACTTTCATCGATTAAATTTCATAGAATTTTTATTTATTATTACTTTTGTCAGATTCAAACTATTTCTGTGACCACTGGGGTTTTCTCTCATTGACCAAAGGATACCAACGACTTAGTCTGTATCTAGTTTTGGAAAGCCCTGAGTTACCACGATGCTTTTCTGCTCTGAACACATTCCCATGACGATCCCACCATGCCTCGGGACTGGTCCTAGCACTGCGTCATGATGCAGCTGTGAGCTCGATCACACCACGCTAACCCAACGCTCACACACATCACATCAACTCTAGTTTGATTCAGTAATATCTGCAGACATTTGCAGGTTTCTGAGCCTCCTCCATATACGTCTCAGCCTTTCTGTGGAGGAGGAGAGTGTTTGCATGTTCACTCCTGATGAAGGGATCACTTCACTGTGAGTAATCAGGCTCTCATACATCTAGCACCACTTCAAGGTTAACAAGCCGCCCTCCAAGCTCTGCCGAGGGGGACGAGCAGGGACAGAAGAGGAGGACGTAGGTCTGTTTGGGTCAGGTTGTGGCGTTTTCCTCTGAACTCCGAGTTAAAGATGAACATCTCTTCTTTGATTTATTCCAGAAATGCTGCAGAGGTTTTGTGCAGTCTTAACACTGCTCTTGGTCCATCGTGCTCTCTAGGCTGATGTGGAGCCTGAGCCTTGAGGCACGTTTCTATTTTACTTTGTATTATTAACAGAGCCACAATTCACAGCAGCTTTAGAGGAATCATTCAGTGGTTTCTTGGATATGAGGGCAAGAAGATGTTCCCATCCACCCATCAGAAACATGGCGTCCCGCTGGTTCTAGGACTTCAGTGGGAAAACGCTGTCATAGCAGATGTCCGTAAAGCGTTTCAACATCCAGCTTTGTCTTTTTCAATCATGTCTTCCCAACTTTAAGGGTCGGACACAAAGTTGTCTTTAATAAAAAAAGCCTGTGAGTGACAGATGGAAGTAGGTCACCACAGCTCCAGAAATGCCACATTGTTCATTTGCACAGGGCGTCTGTTGAAGCAGCAGAAGAAAAAGCTTGAAGCTGGAGTGAGAAGGTGTTTTGAAGTGCTTCACTTTGGGTCTGCTGTGGATTCAGCCCTTGGAAGCAGTCAGTGCACTTAAAAATGCACCGGCGGCTCAGACTCTCCTTTTCTGACTCGCTCCCTTCACCCTCGTTTCTTTTTGCACGTTTTCCACAACCCGGACTCTTTCTTTTCTTCTTCCGTTGCCCTAAATGTCATTACGCCTAGATGACCTCCTGGTCCTGTCCTGTAGCTCTGACCCAGCTTGTCACCAATCACCTGTCGCCGTCTCTCTATAGAAGATGCAGAAATTAAATGATTACTCAAGCGTGACATACAGCCCCGTGTCTCTATAAGAGTCATCTGTCAGCTGTCTTCCTGTGTTACCAACCTATCTGTGCTCTGTTAGTTTTCCTAAATGTAAAAAATGCACACTGATCTAAAATATTAGGGCTCCTTTTGTGGATCTTCTCGTGATTCACTAATTCCTTCAGGATTCTGTGTCATCAATGTCTGAACTCCCGTTTTAAAGTCTGTTGGGTTTTCATAAAAGTTGTCCCTAAGAAGCGAGAGAGGGAGGGCGAGAGAGTGAGTGATGCTTCGGCACAGATGAGAGATTTCAGAGGTGGAGCTGAGAAAGTCATCCGGCTCTACTCATCATCTCTTCAGCAGAGGAGGAGACATGGACTCCACATTTATAATTGATCTGCTTCAGCTCCAGAAATACCCGAGACGAGCCCGGCTGTTTGCTGCCTGTGCTGGCGTAATATTAGAGAGAGCCAACAGGTGAGGGGGTCGCCGAGGAGAGAAGCAGCACTCCACCGGGCCTTGGCGTGGCCCGTAAACCACTCAGTGGCTGGATGTGCGTGTAGAGGGGCAGGTGTTGGGGTAACCCGAACCCGAACCCCTTGTTACTGGTTTGTTTCTGGGTCTGGGAGCGTGTGTTCAGACATGTTCTGTTATTTTTGAGAAAGTTGCTGTGCAGTGACAGGTGAGTAGCCTGTGTGTGTGTGTGTGTGGGGGGGGGGGGGGGGGGGGGGGGGGGGGGGCTCATGCCAGTGGAGAGGTGGTCAGGGTTAACACATTATGTGATGTGACGCCGTGACCTCTTCAGGCTTCTTCAGGCGTGTGACATTCAGAGCTGTCACGTTGCTGTCGGCGCTGAACACCCAGTTCTTGTTCTTGTTTTTCAGAAGACGATCATTAAAAAAGGGAGCTGCTCTCATTACGTGTGTTTACACTTTGCCACTCCTGTTTTCTGCCTCTAGGAGACCGCCTCCTCCTGCGACGCAGAGCTGCTTTCGCTGCTCCTGGATGCGGGCCTGTTGGTGGGCAGCGTCTCCTCGACCCTGTACCCCCTGCTCAGCGCCCACATGCTGTCCCACCAGCAGGAGGGAGGCTGGGACGTGGAGAGAGCCGCAGCAGAGCTAATGGCAGCGGGCCACAGGCCCGAGGCGGGCTCCCTGCTGCTGGCGCACCATGGAGCTCACCAGGCCCAGTTCACCTTCAACTCCGCTCTGGCCGTTCTGAAACGGTGGCTGTGAAGGCGGGAGGTTTACGGAGATGACGGGGGAGGAGATGTTTAGATCACAGCCAGAGAATCCTGCAGATTGACAAGAACAGGCAGGCGTTGATGGTAGCTGCACATATTTAAGCTAGCATCCGGCTGTGCTGAAACTGTTGGTGATAAATTGTAAAGAGGTTTCTGACCCGTTTTTGAATTTTGAACATTGGTTTCGAGTCGTTGCACGAGTTTAAAAGCTGTCTGGAGCTCAGATGAATAGAAGTTCTTCAAATCTAAACCTGCTAAAAGTGAGAGACTGAATAAATGAGAAAACATCTGTTGAATAAGTTGCAGCAATAAAATTTGCATGGTGTGACCTGTCCTATAACAAGTTATTCAAGTGTACAATTAAAACTCATCGCAAAGAAAATGTTGTGTTAAATGTTTCTTTCCGACGCATCTCCATCAGTCTCAGCCCGGTGAGACTAGCTGAGCCGGCTTCTCGCTGGGCTGGGACTGTAACTGACTAAAGGCGAGCACCACTTCAAGATGGTCTCCAGAAAGTTCTCAAGGGTTCTTAATCTCCTCACGAATCATGGATCTTCACTCTTTTGTTCGTCTCAAAGTAAATGCAGAGCTGTGGCACGAGCCTGGAACAGGTTTCAAACTTCATTTCACCAGAATGAAGAAACGACACGTGTGAGTTGGCTGCTTTATTCATGATTACGTCGTAAACTGGAGGCGACCTGCTCATGTTTGAAGCTCAGCACCGAATATCAACTCTGGTTAAACGGAAAACAATCGGCACTAACGTCTCCCAACTGGTCCCCAGCAGGCGCAGCTCAGTGGGAAACCGGTTCTAACCAGTTCGGGGTTCATTGCCAATTTTGACTGGAAGCTCTGAGAGGTGATGCCTTAAATACTGAAACGCCCTCTCAATTAGGAACACACACACACACACACACACACACACACACTGCTGTCAGAAACAAATGAATATTCAAACTGAGGAGCTAATCAGAAACCGCACTGCTGTGTGTGTGTGTGCGTGCGTGTGTGATGAGGTGATTCAGCAGTAGCTGGGAAGCGGTGGGTGGGTATTGGCCCATTGTTCCATGACAGGTTTGCCTCTTTAACGTCCCGTCGTTAAACAGCCGCCTCTGCTCCATTGTTTTCTCCCTAATAATATCTAATTAATTCCTTCTAAACAAATTAGCCCTGCTGCCGCCTCCCGTGCTGCGTGTGTGTGTGTGTGTGTGCGTGTGTGTGTGCGTGCGTGTGTGAGCGTGTGTGTGTGTGTGTGTGTGTGTGTGTGTGTGTGTGTGTGTGTGTGTGTGTGTGCGTGCGTGCGTGTGTGAGCGTGTGTGTGTGTGTGTGTGTGTGTGTGGGTGTGTGTGTGTGTGTGTGTGTGTGTGTGTGAGGGTAAACATCCACGTGTGTGTGTTCAGTTAACACGAGGCCTAGTTACGGTTTCTATCCCGTCACATCTGAAATGAAGGATGTGATGATTTAGACTTGTTGTGTTTTATCATTTTTATTTATTCATTCCACATTTTGATCATGTCGGTTGGGAACATTCATCTTTTTACATTTTAAATGTTCCAAAGTAAACCTGCTAACCTTTCACCAACTTTACTTTTCTTTCCACAGAAAGGGGTTTAGTAAAAAACGGTGTCCATCTCATGATGAGTGCATTCACCACATTTGCATCGTAATTACAGCAATTTCATATTGTTCCGGGGATAATTGCAGCCCCCTGACCCAAACAATGGTTATGTATTTATCCTGGCTCTCCAGTGCACTTTTTGTTGTGTTGCACAATTATTTTAAAAGAGTTTAGTTAAAGGTTTTCACTGGTCAGCTCTAGCGACTTTGTGGAGGAAGCAACCAGCTGCTGTTTGCAAATGAAAACGCTTTCGTCAAAGCATTCATCGCTCTCATGGTTTTTCCACATATAATTACCTACAGAGGGGAAAACTGCTTTTCAAGCAGTTGATTGCAAGGCAAAGAAGATTACATCTTATTTAACGTGTCAGTCGGACCATTCAAGCTTCTGTGTGAACGGAGGAGCTCGCTTTGGTCATTTAGTTTACAAAATATTTGAAAAAATATAAGAATCCTTCATCAAAGTAAAACTTTTTCCAATTGAACAGAAGTAATTGGTTTGCACAGGAACATAAATAATATGCATAATAATAATAGTGCTTGTTGGGTTAAAGAGCAAGTGGCCCCCTGCCAGAGTCTTACTCCGCTCCCACTTCCTGTTTGAAAAATGCAAAAAATGCTGTCGCCTGGCAGACCGAAAGGGCGGAGCCTCTAACAAACGCACACACACACACAACATTGTGACCTCATAATGTACCAGCTGACATCATTGTGTACTTCTTAGCCTATTGCAATGGCAGATTAAATTTAAATGCAATGCAGGTATACCTGACAACTGTGCAGCAGTGACAGTTTTAGGCAGAATATTTAAATTTTAACTAAGATGCACTGAAGTGCCAAATTATTGACTGCATGTGTCTACAGCATGGTTAGACACTCATTTATATAGTTTACCATTAAAAAGGATGTTGATTTGGGGGTGACTTGCTCTTTAAATTAAAACTCCTTTTCCCTAAACCCTGAGAAGAGAAAAGCAACTCGAACGCCTAAATCTATTAAAATGTAAAAGGAAAAGGATTGTTACTTCAAAATGTGGCTCGTGGGCCAGAAGTGGCCTATGGGATGCTGCCATTTGGTCTTTGATTTACTGAGATTTACACAAAATAACTGAGAGGGACCAATGAAAAGTCGTGTATTAAAAACCAATGAAGACACAATTTTGTGGTGAAATGTAAAGCTTGTGAAATCTAAATTTAATATTCATATTTAAACCTTTTCTTTCTTCCCCAAACAATAAAAAATTCAGTCTGAACCAGAACAGTAGCCATGCCTCCAAGGAGAAGGAATAACCAATGAACTCTGTTTGAACCAACATCATGTAACCAAAAGATATTTTTCCATTCAAGGATTGCAAATACAAAAATAACGCTTCCTAGAAAATCATGCTGACTATGCTACAGTTGTTGTCCTTCCTTTTAAACGGTTTTCAAGACTGGTGATTTTTTCTCTGATTATAGGTGCAGGAAGAAATGTTAGAGGTCAGATTTTATATAAACTCTTCAAGTGTAGATCTATTAAAAAACTTTTTAAAGTTAATGAAAATTAAATAACATTGATTTCACTTATATATATATTCAGTTCAATTCAAGTCAAGTTTATTTACATAGCGCCAAATCACGACGAGAGCCGTCTCAAGGCACTTCACATAATAAACATTACAATACAGGTCAGGGGTCTCATTTATCAAACATGGCGTAGAATCCTCACTAAAACGTACTTAAGCTCAGCAAAACAAAAGTACTTACACCAAGCAGGTGTGTGATCTATCAAACATGGAGGACGCACAGCTGCACGCAACCTCCGCTTCATAAATCAGAGACTAACTAGAAAGGTTCTCAGCTGCTTTTTAGTCACATCCCGCCCTCACCACGCCCACTTACTGCCATAAATGGTTGATGCAAAGAGCCTTATGGATCTCATGCATATACATAAGCCGGCTGTTGCAGCGCTCCGCCAATGACATGGCGACCGTAGATCAAGGCAGATCAAGGAAGCGCAATTTCACACAAGCAGAAGTTGAGGCACCTGTGGATGAGGTGGAGAAATGACAGGAAGTGGTTTTGCAAAACAAATACAAAATCCACGGAGTGGCACAGCGTTGCTGAAGCCGTCAATGCTGACTTCTTCAGAGATCTGTGGTGGATATAAAACATGGTCCAATCAGGATTCGATCCCCAGACTCCCAGGTGAAAGTCACCAGTCAGCCAAACACAGATCTCCCTTGTCTGAGTAGCCAGGACACATGATCAATCGGGTCAGTGACAGCACACACACTGTCACAGACGCATGGTGTTCTGTCTCACTCTGTCCCCCTGCTGATATTCTGCGCTTCAGGTTGTGTGTGTGTGTGTGTGTGTACAAGAGATAATGCTGCAGGATTTCATAACTGTATCTTCTCAGCAGCAGCACTGCAGGTGCTCTCCATGTCCAGCATGTGAGTAAGCCAGGTCCTTAGTCAGCTTAGAGTTACGCACATTTTTCCGCTACGTTTTCTTTCATAAATCCCAAAGTTTGCGTGGAAAGTTGTTTACGCAGTTTTCCGACCCCGTTTTGTGCGTAGGCTAGCTTGATGAATGAGGCCCCAGATCATTAAGCCAATCAGTAAAAAGTTTCCTACTCCTACTCGCTCTCTCCGATCATCATCTTCACCTTCCCTGTCTGTTCCTCGCAGTTGTCTCAGTACTATGGGAGCCAGAGTTTTCAGCCACTCAGCTCCAAAACTCTGGAACATTCTACCACCTGACCTCCGCAATATAAACTCCTTCTCAACCTTCAAGTCGCAACTCAAAACTCACATGTTCCACCTGGCTTACTCACTGTAACTGTCCTCCTCCTATCTACTCCTTTTAGTCTATTACTGCTCTGACTCTACCCTTGGGAATTACTCTTAGCATTTATTTCTTGTTGTTTGTATTGCTTGCTGTTCCTTATATTTTGTCTTGTACAGTGACCTTGACAGCTTTGAAAGGCGCTTGAAATAAAATGCATTATTATTATCATTATTATTATTATTATTATTATTATTATTAAGGAACTCAGCAAATTGCATCAAATCACTGACTAGTGTCAGTGACTTGATGCAATATATATATATATATATATATATATATATATATATATATATATATATATTGCATCAAATCACCGACTAGTGTCAGTGACTTGATGCAATATATATATATATATATATATATATATATATATATTGCATCAAATCACCGACTAGTGTCAGTGACTTGATGCAATATATATATATATATATATATATATATATATATATATATATATATATATATATATTGCATCAAATCACCGACTAGTGTCAGTGACTTGATGCAATATATATATCTATATATCTATATATATATATATATATATATATATATATATATATATATATATATATATATATATATATATATTGCATCAAATCACCGACTAGTGTCAGTGACTTGATGCAATATATATATATATATATATATATATATATATATATATATATATATATATATATATATATATATATATATATATATATATATATACATATATATATATATATACATATATATATACAGTATATATATATATATATATATATATATATATATACATATATATATATATATATATGTATATATATATATATATATATATATATATATATGTATATATATATATACATGTATATATATATATATATGTATATATATATATATATATATATATATGTATATATATGTATGTAAGTTATATCACATACAT